CTACGCTAAGTTCGAAAAGTTCCTTTGAAGTTATTACACAAATATGAGTAAGTTCCAAACCATTTGAAAACTACAACATAGTTATGACACATGCTGAGTTGAAGCTTGCAGAACTTAGAAACCAGTTACGGAAGTTAGTTTTTAACGTTTGTTTTTGATGGTTTGTAAAATCTCTGCAAACAAATTCACAAACAAGGTTGATAAGTGCTCATGTTGCGCAGGATTCGTTTATTCTTTTGGCGGTAGTCTGCCCAGGCTGCGTGAGATGCACCATGACGCACATATATGACATTTACATTTTTTTGTTCGGATTAACGCGCGCCACAGGGACACTTCGCAAGCCGTCGTTGCGAAGACATGGCAGGGAAACGCTCTTCGATGCAGCAGCGGTCTGTGATGAAGAAGTCGTGAGGGATGGAGTACGATTTTGACGCAGTTCAAGCGAGCTTTCCGGCAAAACAAAAAACATAATGCACTTCTTTGACCTTTGGCGGTTGTTCTGCCCAGTACTTTTCTCTTCAATGCAAGATTGTATGGAAAGAGACATACGGATCAATTTTGCGATACAAAAGGGAATGCACAGGGATACAGGGAGATACAGAGGGGTACATCCAAATGTCCGCGGTGTATCCCCTCCTAGAGGATACACCCAGGGATACATTTGGACACATGTTAAAGGATGCACAGGGATACATTTGGATACACGTGTATCCACATGTATCCTGGTGTATCTGCGTGTATCCCCGCGTGTCTCCTTAGATCTCCTTGGCATCAAGTTTTTTTCCATGGCAAACATTTGAGGGCTCAAAAAATTTTCTTGCAGGACTTGCGCAGTTTGAAGCATGGACGAAACAATGCAGTTGGTTCCAACCCAAGCCGAAGCGAGTGAGACCCAGCTTGCCAAGCTGAGCCTGAGTCTGATCCCATCCCAAATGTGCCCAGTGCGGTTCGGTGATGACAGCTGGGAGCTTCCAAGAATGCCCTGGCTGCGAGCAAGGCATGTTGCAAGACATGTCACAATGTGTCTTCTTGGCAGGGAAACGAACACCCCAGATCGAAGCTGTGCCAATCGATTGCAGCAATGTCTGGCGGCCAGCGTGGTGGTGTCACGAAGACGACAAAGTCGTGCGTCTGCTGTAAAAGTGCGACTGCCCAGAATATGAAAACCCTTGTGTTTCTGTGTTTTTTGCTCCGCGGTTGTCTGCCCTGTTTTTTGCAACGCAAAAAGTTAAGCAACTTGATAACTTCTTCAACTTTCTTATAACTTACTGACACTTTCTTTCACATAACTTACTTATAACTTATTTTTAACTTCAGTAAGCGCTATAACTCAAGTTATAACTATCAAAGCTACGGGGCTCTCAGTGTAGAGGTCGTAACCGTTCTCGAGATTGATCCTGCGAGGACGGAGGCCTTGTTCATCGCATGCAGTGCTGAGCCAGGAGCGAGGTGCGCGCGCCACTTCCCAAATGCCATCCTTGTTGTACAAACAAAGGTCTCACTGCCATCATAGTCGTGGACAGGGTGGCCAGCAGGAGCATGAGCTTCTTGGCCACGTAGAGCGGCAGTGGTGCCATCACTACTGAGTTGCCTCCATCTTGAAGGCTTCAGCCACACTGACTGCCTCGACCTCCTCGACCTCTGCCTCTGCCGACTTGCGATCGCGAATGACCTTGAACCTGACAGGTCAGGTGGCGGTCCATGTCCTGCAGGAGTCCGACCGCCGGAATGACAACTTCCGAGGGTGACTTGTTGTGGAGCGGCTCGGCGATGAAGTCTTCACCTTGGCCTTGGCATTCGGTGAGGTGCAGCCCTGAGAGCTGCTGCCTTTGGTCTCCTTGTGGATAGCTTCCTCGGCAGCGATCTTCTTCTGCATGGCCAGGCAACCTGAGCCGTAGGCATGGTGTCGCCCATGAGGACTTTCAGCTCGGTGAGCGTGCGGTTGACCATGCCCGGTTCTCGGTCTTGGTGCTGTTCGCTGGTGATCCGTGGCGAGGCCCGTACATCAGACGAAGATTGCGCGCCATGCAGCATGCCCAGCGGCCGTGGGGGTTGGCACCATCAATGCCCGTCACGCGCTCCCCGAAGCATGGCCAGCATCGGTCGCTGCATCTCGGACCCCGGCTGTCCGGGCCCATCATGCATCGCTCATGGATCGAAGGGTCGAGCCTTGGCCTTCGGCGTCTGGCTCTTGATCTGCTCCAGCAGACCTTGATCCCCCTTGTCCTGATAGGACAGCTGCGACTCGAATTGCGGGGTGAGCGAGTCTCACGATTGCCCATGAGAGCTGTGGGAGCTGCAGTCGGTGATGCACGATGACTTTGCGAGGCCGAGTGCAGCAATCGAAGCCGAGCTCGCGAACGTTCCAAAAACATGTCATCATGTTGTGGTTGATTGAGGTGGTTGGACATGAAGTGCATCTTCAAAACAAACAGGGTTGAACTCCAAGGTTTCAATCTGCTGTTGATGAAGCTCGTGAACATCATGTTCATGAACGTGAACGACGGCGTTCCCCTCGAGAACCTGGTAACCCTTGGTCAAATAGTGAACCACACCCAAAACACAGCGACCCTTATCGTTGGTTTCCAACTGGTAGATGTCGGAATTCATGTTGTGGGCATCCATGGCCAAACCAGTGGAGAAATCGATGATCATCGCAGTCTGGGGGCATATTGATAGATGGCAGTACTCGGCCGGGGTCGGAAGGGAAAGACCGCAAAAGTACTAGGTTCTCCAGATGCATTCGAGGTGATGCGAACCCGATATAGAGTGCCTGACCCCACTTCCCGTTTCCAAACCTGAAGAAAGGTCTCTCGTTCTTGCCACGACGACATGGGCTGAGCGATCTTGCTTCGGGATTAGGTCCATTGGAAGGGCCTTGGAGGAGCTTGCAGACTGCAGCGCATGAGCATCATGAAGTTCAAGGCCAGCCGCATACAGCTCAGAGTTGTAGGTGTTCACGACAGGCGAAGGCTTGCCAACGCGCTTGCCCTTGGGTTTGCCTTTTTGCCAGGCTTGAGCACCAAGCCGCAAGTTCTTACGTTTGCCCTTGCCCTGGCCCTTGTACATGGCTTAGGTCATGTGGGGGTCATTCTCAACCATGTGGCGTTTCATCTTTCCCTTTCCCATGAAGCCAGGATGACTTCGGTCAGGGCAGTCGCGAGCAAAGTGCTCGGTGCTGCCACAGTTGTAGCGTTGACGTCCAGCTTCATTCGAATTCACTACGTGGCCAAATCCTGAGTTGCCCTCTGAGCTTCAGACCAGGCGCGGTGTGCTTCCGCGGCCAGTCTCTCACCAAGGCATGTCGGTCTCTTCATCGGCCACGTTTCCTCCGTGGTGTCGGGGGATAGTCCTGGTACGTCGGGTCTGACTGGTCCTGGTAAGCCAAGGAGTGGGTAGCAACTTGCCAGTTGCTCGTCCCAGACAGTCTGAAGTGCTTTGGTGATCACCTCAAACTCAAGAGAGCCTCGGTGGCTCCGAGGATGTCCCGGCGTTCATCGGGTGACAGTCCACGCAGCGGCTTGCAACAGCCTGAATCCACGAAGAACTCCGAGCGCGAAGGAGTCCTCAAGGGAGGGTTCATCAATCTTCTCATACTCTTTCTTGGAGGTAGAAGTCGCCGATTCGCCGATGACAGTGGAGTGCCTGCGCCAAAGCAGTGTCGGGAGTCGCGGTCAGCTTCTTGAAGTCCAAGCTTGTCTTCATGAAGGCGAGTCAGTGCCTCCACGAAACGAACTCACTGTGCACCAGGGCCTCCCGTACGAGGAAGTTGTTGATGGATTCCCCGGTGCGTCGAGCAAAGCTGAAGTACTGTGAGCAGATGGGTGCGCAGTTAAGGTAAAGCTTGGCGAACCAGTGGACTCGTCGACAGGTTCTGCAACAAAAGCTGTGTACTTGCTGGCGTGTCGAACTCGGCGGTCTTCCAGCTCATAGCCAGGAGACGCGCAGGGCCGGTCAAGCGGGAGATCAATTTGGTGGCACAGTATTACCTCTTCTCTTGAACGGTGCCGCGAACATACCATGCCACCTCGCGAGCGTAGCGTCTCCAGGTCTTGGCTTGACCATGCCAGGTGGGTATGTGGTGCTCATTCTTGTCAGCCATCCTAGAGGGAAAAAGCAATCCACCGTTGTCGGGAAGTGCAAAAAGGGAGAAAAGCCACACAACTTGTTCTCAACGTCCAGGATCAACAAGGGGGTGGTGTAGTCCAAGTTGAGGTGCCACCGAAAAAGGCAATGGAGATCAGCGCTCTCACCTGGTGGCGCCACAACGTCGGAGCAGGCCCTGGCAACGGAGACACTGCTCCGCTACCAACGCAGCGGGTGCTGCAATGGTAGCGTATTGGAGCTCTAGCCAACAACACTAGATGTAATCGAAGGGGTCGATCTCGAAGTGTCGAACGAAGGTGGCACACGCACCTTTTCTCGTAGTGCCCTCGTCGAGCACTCGAAGCCTCTGTGGCTCGGTCAAGTGGCGCAAAAGGGGCCCCTCTAGGATCGATACCCGGTGTGAACATCATCAGAACCTGGATCCCTCATGAGCTGCTGCAGAATCCTATCCCTACCTACCAAACACAGGTTGTCCTCCACCCCAACCGTCGCACCCGTACGGTGCTTCTATTTCCTTTCCCTGTCGGCCTTGAGCCACGCGGTGCGTGGTACGACTTGCTCATTCGAATGTCCGGTTCGACGCTCGAATGGTTTGATGCACATATAAAATGTATATATCGTTATAGATGTATGGCCATACATATATATATATATGCGTGTGTTTTCTGTTGTCATACAGGTGTTAAATTAACAGGGGCATGGGGCTGGTGGACCTTTGCCCACACCGCCGACCCAGTCACCAAAGCGAAGTGTTACGAAGAAATAGGTCAGTTTAAAGCTGGTCCCCCTGTCGAGGAATGCTGGAACAAAAGACAAAGTGGACCTGTTTTGTTCCAGATCAAAAGGGTTGATAAATGATAAACTCGGGTTTGTCACAATCCAAATTCGCTGAGGCAGGCAATCAACAAAGACGATCCCAAGCAGCTACGCAGAGCTTTGCGGGAAGCTCCGCGAGCAACGTGGCAAGCAAGTTTTCACAGATTGCAATTATTGGAAAGAGTTGCAGGTATATTTGCGGCCGATGTGTTCCAAGTGCTGAGCATCTCAGATCTTGGATGCAAACCTACTTCAGTCCCTCCATTTTGCAAAGTGCCGAAACCAGTAGAGCGCTCACGAGTGCACACGCTCCAGAACATGATTTTTTTCCAATCTTCCCAGCACGCACTCGCACAATATTTGCTTGGTTCCAGCCTTTCCGAGCATTGTATGCGGTGGGTATGTCGTTCATTGGTCATTCGCCGAAGTGACTCAGTCCCCTATTGCATAGGGAATAGGCGGAGACTGTTTCAATGTCTCTCCTCTTTCTCTTCGTTTGCCGCGTTCGTTTTTGAAGTGCACCCAGTCTTTCCAAGCTTGCACGGCTTGTGTACAGCTTTCTCCCGCCGGACCTTCAGTACCCAAGTAGCTTGTAAGTTGAATTCGTTTCCAGACAATCGTTGTAAGTACAAGGTAAATTTGATTGCCTTATATTGCTTCTAGGTTAGAGGCCATCGCTACTAGTTGGAGTTGCTCTTAGGTTGGAGCCCATCGCTAGTAGGTTGGAGGCCATCCCTAGTAGGTTAGAGGCCATCGCTCCTAGGTTGGAGGCCATCGCTATTAGGTTGGAGGAGGCCATCGCTAGTATAGTCAATTTGACTGCCTTACAATCGTTGTTCCAGAGTTCCAACGTGCCTGAAAAAGCACCTGTGTCAGCTTCACGCACCGATTTGGAACCATGTTCGACAAGTCTACTACCTTGGACTGTCGTTTGCAGCGCATTTCGTGTGTAGGTCCAGGTTTTTCATTTCAGTTTGAACACTCACGTGTATTTCACATGTAAACAAATCTTTCATGTCATACGAGTCATACGAGTCATTGTTTTACTTTACTTTTGGAATTCTGAATCCAAAACAAGCCGAGAATGCTTGCACGTGAAAAGGTTTAGCTGTTGGCACCGGATGTGCCCAGATTGTCGAAACGACGGTCCGAGGGGCAGCGTTACCTTTGGCAACTCAGAGTTCGTGTGGGCAGCCAATCAATTTCACCTCTATATTGGGCACTCAGGAGTGGGCTAATTACGTTGCGTATGACAGGAAAATACTCAAAACATGGCGCTGATAGGGTTCAATGAAGTTCGCGAGATTGATCGCCATGATATCGTGATGGCAAACATCGGATGCCGTGTGATTCAACATACACCCACATGACAGATGCACATATCTTGGGTGGGTCCAAGAATCCAGATTGGAGGTGGCATCCCAACCAAAAAGCACATGTTCAGGTTTGACTCATGATTCATGAGATAGTGATTTCGATTGTCAAGCCGACAAATTGAGCCAGAATTGTGTAGGGTATAGGCGACGAGGAACAGGGCTCTTCCCCAGTTCCGACCCCACTCAATTCCACAGAAAACGGGTGCCGCTTGTGGTACCCAAATTGGGCTCAGGAAGAAAAACATGGTAGGCAGCCGAGATATCGGCACTCACCTCGGCACGACTGAATGTGAAATGGTTTAGGTCGATTCCACCAGGTTCTTCATCCTGGATCCTTCAGGATCGTGTTGAGTTCACACGAAAAGTGGACGGACTTTGTTGCAGCTTCATCACGAAACCCTTCCGGTTGGCCGCTGCTAGGGTGGGCTGTAGCCAGTGTATTCGGTAGGTGACATCATGACCTGAAGTGACATCCATAGCCGTCTGAATTGCGTTCACAAATTTGCTCATGAAAGCTTGTCAAGTCAATTGCTGTTTTTTACTTGTAACTCCTTCCGTAGGTTCAAGAGCCAAAACACTATGTGTTTTGCAGTAAAAAACGTTGCTTCAAAGACCTCCAAAAGAGAACCAGGTTTTGAGCTAGCGTTTATCGATTGGTTTCAGACTTTCAGACCAGGCCTCCGATGTGGAAAGCATATGAGAGCAAAAGAAAAGACACAACATGGTTTCAGACAATCAGAGTCCAAAATAATACTGTAGATGTTTACGAGAAAAGGACTCAAACATGTTATTGCTTTAAGAACTTTTTTGGCGATGCAACCTTCAAGCTCTCTATTGGCATAAACTTCTGAAGGTCTATTGCAATAAACGCTGGGCCCGTACTCGAGCAGTGGCTTTTTGCTTCTTGCCTTGTTTGTTGACAATTGGTTAGCTCTTGTTCCTTTTACCAGCTCTTTCACTCCTGATACAACGCATTTACAATATGTTAGATGAATAATTCCTGTTAGTCTCAAAGGTGTGTCAATTGCTTTAGCCGCGAAGCCTTCACTGCGGTTTAAATCAAACCTTCGCACCCTAGGGCACGGCTTTATCTCGTGTTGCTGCGCCGCCAAGCCGTGGAATTGCGGCCAAGCTGTGACGGCAATCCGGAGTGAAAGAAAGAACCTGTGTAGATCTCAACAGTCCACAACTGAGTTTTGAATACCTTTTTCTACTGTGTTTAATTGAGCACCGAATGGAGAGCTGCTTCAATCTTTGCAAGGGTTTTCTTGGTCAAGTTGCTGTGTGTTGCTGTTTGTTTTGGAAAGTTGCCTTTTTAAGAACATTGAGATCCAAATAAAAATGATAATGAGCTAGACCAGGTGCAAGGGGATTTGTTAATTTCTATCCAGGCAACAAGTTACAAGTTGTCCATGTCTTTGGTTGTGCTGCCGTGCTATTTGTTCTCTTTGTTTAGACAAGATGCAAGCCGAACTCATACAACAATCAAGTTTGTGTTGTTTGGATTGGTTTTTGCTTACGACTATGACACGCAGAATTCTTCAATTTGCAATTGTCCTACACTTACTGTAAATCATTGTTTTGCCATGCCTGTTTAGACTGGGAAGAACTTGCTGAGGAGATAGGACGTCAATTATATTTGAAACATACATGGAAGAATAGAAAGAAACAATCATACGATGTAAACACATATGGGTAGAATAGATCAACCTGTTGAGATCAAGGCGAAATTGCTAAGGGAAGGTGTTGAAACTCAAATCTGCATACTTGATATCAATCACTTGAAATGAGCAATTGGTGATGAGAGACTGAAACCATTCAAGATTTAAGCCCAAACAGCCTTGACAGATAGTCAGAACCAATGAATACAGATGAACAGGCTATTGTTGCCATTGGTATCGCGCATTGATTGATATTGGGCAGATAAAGATCAAAAATAGCACGTTTCGCCTAGGCTTCAGGGCCGCTTTTGAGTTTTTGCATTGTATTGTCCGTGTTTTTGGCGGGTTTAGGACAGGGTGTTTTCTCCCAGTTACACCCGCTCTCTTTAGGTTACACAAGGCAGTGACTTCGAATTCAGTATTTGCTCCTTGTGTCACACGTTCGGAGCCCCGTTGCTATCGCCAGGAGCGGAGCGCACATGGCGTCGAAGACCCTCATCCAAGATATCCTCACCATCCGAGCTGAAGCATGGCTAAGCTTCTAAGCCATGGCGCTTAGGCATGGCTGGCAAAGCATATTTTTTCTCTAAATTACGCAGCAAGCCTGGCAAGCCTGCGGTTCAACATTTGTGGGCCCAAAACAAACAAGAGGTCAATCAAGATCTTTTTGTTTCCAAGCCACTTAGATGTAGGAATGGCTGAAGGTTTAATGTCATTGAATCCTTGTTCTTGTGCTCCCCGACCCCCGAAACATTCTCAACATTCTGTCTTCGATGCTGCATTGAGGACAGAGATCACTACTATTATGGCGTCAATGATCTTTTCAGGAGAGATTGACATATTAAAAATAGAAACTACACGAAGAACAAAGCTATTCAAAAGGCAGAAACATATAAAATGTTCATTAAGAGCAAGCTGCACCCAACACGGAGGCTCCAAGCAGATGTTGTGGCCAACGTCCTTCGCGAAGCACCACATTTGGTGGAGACCTTGTTGGATGGGCTCATTTGGCGCTCACACAAAACCCAGGACGACTGTTTTTGGGCGCGGGACCTCCTCTTAAGCTACAAGTACGCGGCCACATAATTAAGGTCGAGGCCTACTAGTAGACTAAACACACTATATACTAGCTACTAAACACGCAGGATAGCTCATGCTTCTTCAAGGAAGCACTCCCACTATGCATGTGGTTCCTAGATTTGGTGGAAACTTGACTTTTAGTGAAACTCGTTGGCTGTCAACTGCATGTGGAGACTGCGGAGACTGAAACGGGGTGTTGGGGGCAGTAGCACGGAAGTTAGAAGTAAGGATTGGCCAGAAATGCAGCAAGGGTTCTTCAAAAAGCAGGATGGTCTACGGCCAGTGATTTACTATATGGAGCACTTACTGCAAGACACTGACAGTTCGCAGATGCTCTCCAGATCTTGGGTGAGTTTCGTGAGATTCAAACATCCTGGGATTATTGTCCATCCCATTTTGACATTCGTGTCAGATTTGCTATGGGAGAACTTGGCTGCTGGACTGCTAGCGGAGGGATTTGGGTTTGGAGTTCGGAGTGGTTGTTTTTTGTTATGGCTGTGCAATGAACAATGGAATGACTGAGCCACAGCACCATATTCCTCAGGTCATGCGGTTTTTTCTCTTGGACCAAGTATTTAGCATGGTGAACTTCTTGATCTTCCTCGTGTCTGCTTGCTTCCTGGCTGTGCTTGAAAAATGTGGGCTTGCAGTCCGCAATGATAGCCCATATGTCACGAGGCATCCTGAACTCAGAGACGGTCTTGCAAGATCCTGTGCACCCTTGCTGCAAACATGTTTCCTTTTCCCGATTTGTCAATTTAATTCATTCAGGATTATATAATGTTCATTCTCTTTCAGGAAATGACTTCATGTGTTTGTAGAGTGTGGAGGATGTCCAAATTTCTGATTGCTGCACGACTGCTGGTCTACACGCTTGGGTTGGGCAGACTCCTCTATTGGCACACGCTTCAGATGTACAAGACCTTGGTATTTCCTGAGGCCAAATGCGCAGTTCTTTTCAGTCCGCTCCCCCTTCTCCCTACTCAATTAAGCGAGGAACTGAGGTAGCTACTACCTTACTTAAGCTAGTAACTGGACGCAGGATAGCTCACGCTTCAAGGAAGCTCCCACAGGCCGCCCTAAAGGCGGAGCTTCCTTGAAGAAGCGCTCGCACTAGTAGAAATGCCCTTGCTCCTAGTAGCGATGCCCTTTGTTCTTAGATGTTTAGGGAAACTTAAGCTATGTCGGGCCTCCAACGTTTCCTGTCCGTTTAGTCAAACCTTACTGTTGTCCTCCTGCCCCAGGGATGGAAGCGAACTTGTGGGATGCAGCTCCCGAGATACCTTCAGGGTCCAGAGATTCTTAGCTTTCTCCTGATGATAGACATTGCTGGGTTGTTGATGGCACCTTGGTCGGGAACATCTCATCCCACATCAACGCGGAAAAGCCAGAGGGATAGAGTCCTATATTATTAATATACATACATATATATATAATGTATATATATATATATTTATGTATATGTCCTCTAGAGATTCTGTTTCAGGAAACAAATCAGAGACGGAAAGACCAACATGAAAGGAAACACAAAGCGGAGACAAGCGGTACGTAGCTGAAAAGAGAAGGGAAACCGCGTTGATCCAGTATCCTGCTGCTTCAGGTTAATTGCCAGAAGTTTTTGCACAGCATTCCATTATTATGTGTTGCGGCCTTGCTAGAAGGGATACCAACCTACGATTCCTTTTATTTCGTTTTATTCCAACCTACTTGCAATGGCCTCCAACCCAACAGCGATGGCCTCCAACAATATTCTCAAAAATGAACAAATAGAAGGCGAGAAGAGGCTGAGGGAGGAAGGACAATGAGGCTAAGATGGCCAAGGGCTGTGCATGGCTGTGCCAAACGAAACGGTTGACAGTGGGTTGTTTTTCCCGTGGCACGTCAATGTGATGTCCGTTGTTGTAGTTGCTGTGGTGTTGTTCTGTGCTTTTCCCCAAACAGTTTACTGTTGGGTTTCTGTCTCATGCGGCCGTGTCTCCTGCTTGGCCGCGCCGTGAATCCTTTCTTCTCCACCTTTTCTGGGCCTTGTCTAGGCCTTGTCCGGGTAAACGTTTTCCTTTTGTTCCAACCCAATAGCGATGTAGCGATGGCGTCCACACTTGGCCGCGCTGCCATGGTCCGGGTCTGTGGATCCTTCTTGGCTGCGTGGGCCTCGTCTCGGGGCTTGTTTGGACCTGCATGTTTCTCTCCTGGCTATCAATGCAAAAGTGATGCAGCGTTTCAAATTTGGTATCTTCCACGATCTTCTTTTTCCCGGGAGCGTTGCGAAGGGTTCTTCTGTAGAAATCTTTTGCGTAGCACATCTGCATCAATACATTTGAGATTTATATAGCTGCACTTGTGTGTATGCTATACTGTAAGTACATCTGCAGGTGTGGTCTTCTAGAGCTGCTGCTACGGAGGTGGTAACACATTTGCGACTGGTATAGCTGCATTTGTAGGTATGCTACAAGTACATCTGCAGCGTGCAGGCATGGTTGTGTAGAGCTGCTGCTACGCTAGCATTGCTTTGGTGCTGGGATCTTGCTCGGGCAACTTTCGCTGAGGCCTTGTTCAGTAAACCGTTGCAAAAGTAAACATGTGTTAACATAGAGTGAAGCATATGTTTGTTCGCGTGTGCATGACACATCCCGGCTCTTTGTCTATTCTTTCTGAGGCGGGGACCTGGCCGGACAGGGCTTGCGAAGCGTTACCCTCTGCGACGAGCGCGTTCAGTGCTCAATGAGGCGAAATGCGAATTCCAGCTGTGCTGGATGAACCCTTTGTGGAGATCACGCGTGTCGAGCGCTCAAACGTATGCGAACTTTGGTACATTTTGGTACCGAAGTAAGTATGCAATTGTCGTCGAAATTGACGTTGCAAGGTGCCAAAGTCTGTAACTGTCGTCGGGAATGCCCCCGGAAGGTAGAAGTTGCCAAAGTGTCGACCTGTCGTCGAAAACGAAGGTGGAGGTTGCCAAAGAGTGTAATTGTCGCCGAAACCGAAGGTGGAGGTTGGTTGGTAAGTTGGTAGTATACATACATGTAGTGTGGGAAGTAGCTTTTGGGAGCTGTGGCCTCAGAGCTGGTTACTTGTGTAGTACAAATGTAATACTGTTCAGAAAACAGCTTCTGAGAGTCCGTGGCAGGCCGTGTGGCCAAATTACGTTTGTGATGTCGCTGCGCCACGCGGCGGTGCAAAGTGCATTCGCGTGAGCCCGTGCCACTGGAGGAAGGACAACACGCAGGTGTAAGTTTGTGTAAAATCAGCACGAAGCCTGGTGTTACCCTGTTGTCTCTAGCTAGTTTCTTGTGCGCACTGTGGCCAAATTACGTCTGTGATGTCTCTTTGCCGCGCGGTTTTGCGCGGCCTTGGTGAAAGGTGCGTTTGGGTGAGCCCGTGCCAGAAAATAATGCTGGTGTAAATTTGGCTTCTCGCGCGGGATGAGGGGCAGCGCAAAGGATGCTTCGTGTTAGATTGAATTGTTGTATCTGTTCTGTGGCACACCGTGTGGCCAAACTAAATCCACTAATTTCCTCTGCTATGCCATTCACTGTATGTCATAGGAAGTCTTTTACATGGCGTCCCCCTACAGCTGGAGGCTATGGGTATAGAATTGCAGGCGTTTCCACCAACGTTGGAATGCATGAGTTGATGCCAAAAAAATCATGCTGAAGCAGGGGGTCTATTCTGTGATTTGTGCCTAGGACAAGTTCAATGCGTTACGCACAAACTAGACAAAAACAATTTTTTGATTTTTTACATGGAAAAAGATGCTGTCCAGGTCGAACCTTTGCTTCATTGTCTTGGAACCTCAGAGGTGGCTGATGGTTAAGTGATGAAGAGTTCTTGTTGAGAGTTTGTTGAGAGTTCTTGTTGAGGTGTTATTGTGTTGTAAATGCGCTTGTCAGCACAATAGCACCAAGAACGTAGTTTCGGGTCTAGTTTGTTATTGCAGTTTCTGGAACTTGTTGGGCGTTGACGTTCACGACTTGCGTGCGCCATGCAGTGATATTTGCTCAAAAAAGTTCCAGGCGATGCTTGATTTGACTTGTGACAAATGGGCCCACGGAATGAGTACCTTGGTGGCATTTTGTCGGAACATGAACGACGATGAAAGAGCGACTGAGGCACTGTCTACGAAGTCTTCTCGGTGTTCGGTGTCTTCCTGCAACATGGAAAAATGAGAGCGAAATGAGCGAAACGCGGAATCTGGAAAGGGTAGAAGTTGCGAACAAAGGTGCTGAAGCATTGTTCAGCGCTAGCCGCTAGCCTTTGAGAATGCTAACAACAGAAAAGAAAAAATAAACCTGACAAAGGAAAGGAAGAACAAAGGGTTTTGCTACGGCACCCTTTGCGCTCAATGTCTGCTGGTGATGTGAGCAACGAAGATTTCCATGCGTTCCTTTGATGGTAAAACTTTGAAAGACCGTCCTTCGGTTGTAGTTTGGACACGTCGGGAAGGTCGGCAGGGTCTGATGGTTTTCCCCCATACGGGCCCTGTATTCGACAGACTCGAAGCTATCCGAGGTACGTTCTACTCCTGTTGGAGGTTGGAAGCGTTTCCATTGAGCTCTCCGAGTATCGGGTCTTGTGCGTGCACGCAGTGAAGCAGGTGCGACCAACCATATGGCTTTCCCGTTCCCGGAGTGCCCCCAAAGCTGGAAAGCTGTCCTTTTCGTGTTAAGTTGTGTCTTTTGGAGGCCATCGCTACTAGGGTGGAGGCGTGTGGAGACCATCGCTATTAGGAGGCCATCGCTACTAGGGTGGAGGCGTGTGGAGACCATCGCTATTAGGTTCCTTGCGCTAGGTTGGAGGCCATCGCTACTAGGGTGGAGACCATCGCTATTAGGTTCGTTTTGCTACAAGGTTGGAGGCCATCGCTACTAGGGTGGAGGCCATCGCTATTAGGTTCCTTTTGCTATTAAGGTTGGAGGCCATCGCTACTAGGGTGGAGGCCATCAGGATTAGGGCCATCGCTACTGGGATAGGGATCAAACAAATAACAATATGCATCAAAAAACAAGGTGAGCCCGCGGACCCAAACGCAAAAAGAAACGCGCAACCCAGAAAAATAAACAAACACACATTAGCAGGCCAAAACGAAGCATCAGCCCCCTTCAGGCTTCGTGGCAACCATGATATTCCAAGCATCGCGGTGTCCACCCCCGTCTGCCATATACACCCCCGTCCACCCCTTGATCATTTTTTGAAAGCCCTCCAAAAACGGTCATAAACGATTGCAACATGGCTTCTAACAACCCTTCCAGGAAGCGTGGAGCAGCATCAGCTCCCTCCATGCTTCGTTCCAACCATGAAATTTAAAGCATTGCGGTTCTGGCATGCAACCTTCCTGCCGTTTCTGCGATCAATGACTTGGGCTGTCTTCGGCATACATTGCGCACATTCTGGATTCTGGACACCCAAGACCATCATATAGCCCGCGCCAGACAGTTCCACCCGCGCAATAACGTTCTTCAGCGAGGCATGGAGTAGCATTAGCCCATGCTTCGTTCTACTTAGCATCCATCTTCCTTCCACACCCCCGTATAGCCCCGTCCACACCCATCTTCCGTCCACGAAAATGCTTGCCTCGTCTCGCTCTGCCCCCCCCACTAACGTCGACTAAACTAAACGAGAACCCAAGCATCGGAGATTCTTTTGGGAAAAGCGCGCGCGTGTGTACTGCTGTGCCAGCGCTACAGCGCATCACACGCGGTAAAATGCTTTCGGGTCGTTCGTCGTCTAGTGTTTAATTTTTTGGCATAGATTTCCGGCGGCGTGCATCGTTGGCATGATCAGGGCGTCGATATGGCGGAGATATCGCAGGAGGAGAGGATTTGTCGTTTACGGTTCCTTTTAGTCGGGTTGGAGGTTGGTTGTATTATATATATATATATACATATCAAGTGGCTGTGTTCAATCTCTGCAGCTAGTCTCCAACCCCATGGCAACATGGCTTCTGACAACCGTTCCAGGAAGCATGGAGCAGCATCAGCCCCCTCCATGCTTCGTTCCAACCATCAAATTTCAAGCATTGCGGTTCTGGCGTGCAACAATCCTGCCGTTTCGGCCATGACTTGACTGTTGGCGCATGCATTGTGCACATTTTGGACACCCAAGACCATCATATAAGCCCTGCAACACAGCTCCCCTTGCGTCAGAACGTGCTTCCGCGAAGCATGGAGCAGAACTACCCCCACCCATGCTTCGTTCTACTTGTGAACTGACCCGGAGCCTGCAATGATGCTTGTGGTGCAACTATGTCCTCGTAACTAGCATATCAACCGCGCAAGATCGCTCCACTCGCACAACGACGTTCTGCCGCGAAGCATGGAGCAGCATTGGCCCCCTCCACTTAGCACCCTCCACAGCCCCGTCCACGCCCATCCACAATGCACCTCCCATCTCGCTCCCCTGCATCTTCCCTCTCCAGCCCCGTCCCCACCCATGCGCCTCCCATCTCGCTCCCCTCCATCTTCCCTCCCCAGCCCCATCCCCACCCATGCACCTCCCCTCCATCTTCCTTCCCCACCCCCGTCCCCACCCATGCGCCTCCTGTCGCTCCCCTCCATCTTCCCTCCCCAGCCCCGTCCCCACCCACTCGCTCCCCTCCATCTTCCCTCCCCAGCCCCGTCCCCGCCTCGTCTGGCTCCCCTCCCTTTCTTCCCCTCCCTCTTCCCTTCCCAACCCCGTCCACCTCCACATCCATCTTCCGTCCCCGACAACGCACGCTTTCTTTCGCTCTTCCGCGGCACTAGCGACTAAACGATCGGAGATGCTTTTGGGAAAAAATAGGTTTCAAAAGAAAATTCTATTCGGCCTCAAATAATAGTCCTTGGTCCCCTGATCCCTTGCTCCTTTGATCTCTTGGTCCCTCTGGTCTCTTGGTCTTCTTGGTTCCTTGATGTCCTGCGGAGGGCCATCTATTTTCGGATTTCTTTGTTTTAAGGATATTGTATTTTTGCGTCTGGCTTCTGTGGCTTTTGGCTTTCGTTGCTTCTGTGGCTTTTGGCTTTCGTGGTTTTCGTGGCTTCTGGATTCTGCGTGGCTTTTGGCTTGTAAGGAAGCATCAATCGATCCATCCTATCCTGTCCTGTCCTGTCCTACTCTACCCTATCCTACCCTATCCTATCCTATCCTATCGATCCTATCTATCCTTATCTATCCTGTCTGTCTATCTATCATATGTATCCTATCTATCTTATCGGTCTTACCTGTTTTATCTATCTGTCAAGTTACTTCCTCAACACGCCCAGGACCAGAATGCAAAAAAAGAGAAAATGACAGCCCTACTACTACTACCACCACCACCACCACCACCACTACTACTCCTCCTCCTCCACTCCTCCTCCTACTCCTACTCCTATTACTACTCTCCAATACCACCACTGCTATTGTTAAGAGCGCTATGCTAATTATTTGCCCTTATTTAAGGTTTCTTGTTGATCTCTTCGAATATTTCGTTTAAATACTAGTAGTTTTTGCGTTTACTGTTTGATCTTTTTATGTTCTTTTTGATCTCCTTAATATTTGTTTTTTGATAACTACTAATCTATTTTTTGATCCGTCACCCTCGCTACTAGGGTTCAGGCCATCGCTATTAGGTTCCTTTTGCTACAAGGTTGGAGGCCATCACTATTAGGGTGGAGGCCACTGCTATTAGGTTCCTTCTTCCCCACATCACTATGTGGGGTTCTAGTTTTTCGCTCTGCGACCGCCGCTCCGCCTCCCGCCGCCACCTCCCGCCTCCGCCGCCTCCGCCGCCCCACTCAAGTCATCATGTTACACCACTCAATCTTACACCACTCAACTTACACCACTCAACTCACACCACCTATCTT